AAATAAACTCAGCATAAAGTAATCCCGCCGTCTGAGCAGTCGTCATCTGGGGAGGCGGTCGACATGGAACCATCTGATGTGAATCGTATGTTTCAAGAAGTGAGGGTATCGCACTTCTAATCAGTCAATCATGGCTGGAAAGTTGCGGGTTCGAATCTCCCCAGGGGTAAGTGAGATGTAGAGTGTTGCCGATCCGCGAGTTTACAGTACTTTGCGACTTTTCAGCATCGAGTTACTTCACCCACAGTCCGGAACAAGCTGCAGCATGGCAATGAAACGGCAGGAAAATTAGCAAAATGCAGTCCAGCTTCTAACCTTGTTTGAATATTTATTTTTATCCTTCTTTGATAAACCTCTGATTATCCATCCAGAAAATTCAAGTCTATACGATAAAACCGTTCTTAGCATACGATAAATTATGAAGGTTAATTTGTTTCTGAAATGTCCACTAAAATACAATCAGTCTGAGGAGGACTTCAGACTGTCAGTATCAGTTTGTACGCATATCACGCGTACTATATCATACCAGTTGTGTAACGCAGCAAACTAACCAATCACGCGCCAGTGTTCAATGATTGGCCAGTTCGGTATTGATTACTTTGGCTTTGGTTGTTCATCCCCGTATATTCCTGTAGCATCTACACAGTGGCTTGGGGGCTAACCAGCTGGCATTCACCTTACCACTGTGGGTCGATCTGGTTGTCAAATATCTTCTTTGAAACCGAGAAATGACTCCCCAGTTGGGTAAGACCAGTGTGGGACCCGCAGAGCTGTCTGCCAGATCGACTTGTACTGGTCACATCATTGTGGTGGAATATAAACCCGCAGGTATCCGGAAATTAATTGAAGAAGCCTGCACCAAACGACCCAGTTTCTATCAGAGTAGACTAATCGTACGAGTGTAAACCGATTTATGTTGGGAGTCCGTTTTGTGTTTTACCTTTGTGAGGTGGCTAACCTTGTACAAAATCTGTCACGAGTAGTCATGTTGCGCAATTGGGAACCAGAGTAGGAACTTGAATCTGTCTCTTTCAGACATCGCATTTAGATCTCCTGCATCGTCCAAAGCATTTTCTAGGTCTTGCAATAATCACTGCTGAGTATTCAGTGGAAATTTCCAAAGGGATACAGGACTAAAACTCTAGATAGCGTAGTGAACACAGCGCAAACTTACTGACCAGAAGGTCCTTGGTCCGAACCCGGCGGTGGTATCCCGCCCGCTCCCGGCTAGGCTTAAGCAACCTGGTATTGTCTCGGTCCTTGTGCTTCCCTTGGATGGTAAGGCAGCAATGCACCAAAAACGTGTTACATTTGAACGATAAAAACCGAAAAAATAATCGTTCAGTTGTAACATCCTTTCGGTGCTTAGCTGCCATGCCACCCAAAGGAAGCACGAGGGATGAGATACCGCCTAGACGGGGGAAGTCGAGAAGCAGAGGTCGGGTTTGAATTAAAAGAGGGACTTAGCCACCATAAATAACACCGTGAGTGAACAAGCGCAAAATAATGCCAGACTGATGGTGCACTTATACTCTTGACCTAGTGCAACTGCCCCTTTTCGTTATCGAAAAAACGATCATCATTCTACTGGATGTAATCAAATAGCTCTGCACAAAAATAATTTCATTCTTCGTGAATATTTCAGAGGCGTGACGGTAGGGCAAAGATGATAGGGGGTGGGGAAAGAGGGGTTAGACTAGTTTCGGACTCGTTCGTTCTAGCAAATTCAACAGTATTTATCAATAGGGGTGGGTGAAAATTGAATTCTGGTCGCTGCCTGTCTGAAAAACAACAGCCAGCGCCGAAAGAACAATTGACTGTCAAAGGTATAAAAAAACCGTACGTGTTCTATGTAGAGAAAAAACAGAGTCGTCTCTATGAGTTCTGGAAGCGGACAGCCCTACATTGTAGTCGGAAGCCCAAACTGGAAGTCATTCATAGCCAGGAGACATACGAAGAACTGCTACTAGGGAATGTGGGAACTATCACAGTACTAAAAAGAACATGTGATCTGTAGGTGCGTGTGGAGCGCTGAATCTTTTGGTGTTGGAGGAACCTCTTCTGTTCAAAAAAGGCTTGGGTTGGTCATTGCTGAGGAAAACAGCATCAGGTTTGCTGCAGAGTTCAGTTGGTTGTATCCGCTCGTCGTGGGGTCCAGAAGGGGTGTTGGTTGTCCTGCAGGCGCAACTGTGGCAACCGGGTTCGGAACCAGGCAGGCTGCACCAGTCACATACTGACGATTCCGTAAGCTTCCACTAGGGCAACACAGGGCTGCGGTTTGTGCTTCGACTGGGTTGTTGAAAGTTGCCAAAAAGTTAGCCGTTCCGTTTGGTTGGGGTTGATACAAGGTGAATTGAGGTGTGGTCTGTACAGATACATGGAGAAAAGAAGAGTAGGCTCACCAATTATTCCGAACTGTTTCGTCAGTTTACTTAGGAAAGTATGATTGTATCTGGTGTTGTAATTAATCACGGTCCAGTCAGCAGCAAGCAGGGCAACAAGCAGAGCAGGGGGCGAGATGGCCCAAGTGGTTAGAGCGTGAATTTATTGACCGGAAGGTCCGTGGTTCGAACCCGACCTCTGTCACTCGACTTCCCCTGTCTAGGTTCGGGCAACTTGGCAATATTCCAGCCCTTGTGTGTCCTTTGGATGGCATGGCAGCTACGCACCGGAAGGGTACTACACTGAACTTTTCACCTTTCCAGCAGCAAGATGTGAATCAAAGTCACCAAAATAATCCACGGCTCGCATCATTGGCTGCTGTGAAACCATGAGGTAACAATATTCTATCATAGAGTAAAAACTGATGGGAATGTTTGAGACTGCTAAAATGCCTTATTTCCTCCAACAACAAGACTGAGAACAATGTGACATCAAGTGTGGGCAAGACGATGTCAGGGTGATGCACCCAGAATCCTTTGCGAACCTCACTAAAAAGACTAGACAGTACACCTATGGAGTTAGTGTGTGTGCCACTGCGATTCATCAAGCTTCGTGACCTGTAGGGTGACCAGGGCTTCAAGAAGGATTATTCGGGCCACAGCCAGGAAAGCACGAAGATCCCACAGAACTACGTTGCCATATGATAGCCTTTCCCCGTGCAATGATGGTGAGGCAGCGTTGTGCGTGTTCTGGTCTCCCTAAACTGATGACTCGTTGTCACCAAGTAATCGCTATTGCACCAATACGTGACAAACAGATTGCGACCAGCTAACTGTTGTCCTGTTACAAATGCACCGGTGAGCAATTTTCCAAAAGCACTTTGAGTTTTCATGCGGGAGCTTGTTACTTGCGGAACCATGAAATTAGGATACTCTTTAGGCAAGACCTTACGTGAAATCGTTCCAGAAGTGTGTGGGAAAATATTACTTGTACCTAGACAACACATGCACTGTCCTCTAACGGCAGTCAGAGTTGAAGTGACATCCAAAACCCGACCGACGGTGTCCTTAATAGAAAGTCTCGAAAGAATAAAGGGGGAAATCGAGTCCTAATTTCGGACTTTGGACGTTGTAGTGTGCATTTCGGTACAATGGAAGCGTGGTCCTCGATTGACAGAAAAAACGTTCACATAATTCGAGTACACTGGGTAAGATAGTGAAAAAGCGGCAAGCAACCATTTGATCTATCCAAATTTTCATATAAAGCTCTCTGATTTTCTGAAAAAAGTACTTCCACAACGTTCCTAATGCATACCAGGCGTTTCAGCATTTGCTAGGCAGTATTCATCATAATGCAACGAGGCTCAGCCAGGGAAAAACAGTGTCATAATAAAGGTTAACAAACATTGACTTCGGAGGCGCTCGGTTGCATGCGCCATCTTATTTGCTCGTGATTTAGCCCGCTCTGACACCATTGCATCTCCGTAACCAGAGCACCTTACACAGATTTCCGATCAGCCAATCAGCACGTCGTGTCTTGGCATGAATGTGCCACCGACGAATGCATACGGGCGAATGGAATGTAGACCTTGATCGCCCTTCGGAAGAAGAAATAAGATACAAAGTAGCCGTACTGAAACTTGAGAAGGCACCAGGACCGGACGGTCTGTATCCAGGCCTCTTCAAAGAAGGCGGGAAATCCCTGGTAACCCACCTGACAAAGCTTATTGGTACCATATGGGACGAAGAGGTGCCTGCATAATGAGGCATGTCGACAGTTATCCCTATCTACAAAAGAGGTACGCGGACGCTGTGTGAAAACCACCGTGGCATCAGCCTATTAGCTGTGGCATCAAAGGTTAAAACCAAGCTGGGTTCTGTCCTGCAAGAGGTTGCTTCGACCATATCTTCACCTTCCGACAGATTCCGAAACAGCGACACTGCTTCCAGCAACCAACAATGGTCGTTTTTCTTGATCTGAAAGCTGCCTTTGACTCTGTGGACCGCCAAGTACTATGGCAGTGTCTGTGGAGCAAAGGTGTCCCCCATAAATTCTTGACCCTCCCTAAGGAGCTGTACGCCGACTCCCGCGGCCGTGTAAAGGTCTGCGGGAGGCTTTCTCTTGAGTTGACCACATCAAGTGGTGTCCGACAGGGCTGTCCTCTTTCACCTTTCCTCTTTAACTTCGTCATTGATACGATCATGGAAGACTCACTACCAGCCTCTAATGCCTGTGGGGTCGAAGTGCTCCCTGGGCCTCCGCTCACAGACATCGAGTACGCAGACGACATAGCTCTTCTAGGAT